CAACCTGGAAGTCAAAATCATTTTTCTTTCGGTGGTGCTGTCACGCCACTCACTTTATGCATCCCAAACTCAATGAATCACTTGTCACTTACCCACCTATAGTACTTCTACCTAGCTATGTGTCCCGGATCTCACAGTACAGATATAACTCTTCAGCCCCAATTTTGGGAGTGAAATAGCACCATAAGCGGCAAAAGAGCGCATTTCCGGACAAATTTTCCAAAAAAATATATCTCTTTCATTTTACAAACAGTTGTGGATGGGATCGCTTCAGTAGGAAGCTTGCACGCGTCGTGAAAAGGTAGGGAGGCTGGAGGATGGCATGTGCATGCGGTGCCACAAGCGTGAGAACACCTACCGAATACAGTATAGCAATTCGAAGTCCGAACTATATCATTCAAACTCAGTTATAGATCTATTTCGCCACGCCTATAGTATAACTGCCACCAGCGCAGCCACCTTGCAAAATTGCCCGCTAGGACCTGAGAAGAAGTAGGTCAACCATACTTAGTCAACTTTCTCAGGGGAGTCAAGAGAGGCAATAGCATTACCTTCTACACACGATTGTGGCTATATAGAAAGTGTAGACTTGCCGGTGAACCCTTACTGCCACTGGGATTGACCATGAGAATATAAGGCAGGGTGCCGCGCAGCTACGCAACACTCCCGACTTTACGCACAAAATCATAATAAACCATGACAGGGGACATGCATCACTGACACCAACACCGGGAGGATAGCACTTCTATATAAAGGTCAGATAACAGTTGTCCTGTGCCCTGTCTACAAGACATAGCCCTGCTAGTGGGTATGCAGCCCAATATGCGGGTAGCACATTCGTCTCAAACATCTTCCTCAGCGAAGGGATAATCAATGTACCCCCCCTTCCCCTGGGTATAAAACGTACTCCTATCATATTTCGTCAGCGGAATTCCCTTCTCCAACCGCTTCGGTAAATCCGGATTCGAAATAAAATATCGCCCAAAGGCCACCAGTAGGCTGCCGTCCTTCTCCGCGGCCTCTACCGCGAGCTCCCGCGTGTAGCCCCCTGCAGAGATGAGGGGCTTCGGGGACCATATCTTGCGGATGAAGTCGTTCGAGCTGCCGAGTGCCGCCTGGCGGTCGAGGTCGCCGAGGACGCGCGGCTCAGTGACGTGCACGTACGCGAAGTGCGGGTGGGCGTCGCGCAGCGCGCGGACGAAGTACGAGAAGGTTGGTATGGGGTCTTTCATACCCGATCCTATCACACAAAGGTCGTAAGCCATCAAAGAGAAGACGAAAACGATGGTTCAAGTGTATCACCATTGAACCGCTCCCAAGGACTTATCCTGATCGCGGCCCGACTCTCGCCTATGGCTTTGCAGATTGCGTCGACAACTTCCAACCCGAACCTCGCACGATTCTCCACGCTCCCGCCATATTGGTCTGTCCGTTCATTGCTCACGTCCTGCAAGAATTGGTCCGGTAAATACCCATTCGCCCCATGGATCTCAATCCCATCAAATCCCGCCTTTATCGCGTTCCGCGCTGCCTGGGCGTACCATGCCACGTACTCGTGAATCTCCTGGGCGGTGAGCGGACGCGGGGCGCCATCCCGTCCGGACTCGGGGGCGATGCCGGGCACAGTGGCGACACCAGGGAGGGGGAGCGCAGAAGCGGAGACGTAAGGGATGTTATGGCGCGCGAGGACTTCGGGATTGGCGGCGCGGCCGAGCGCCCAGAGTTGGCAGAAGATGTGGGAGCCTTTGCTGTGCACGGCGTCCGTAACCTATACGGGTTGAGGTTAACGTTCTGAGGGTAACGGAGGATAACGCGGGCAAGGTTGTGTACCCACCTTTCTCCAGCTCTGAATCTGTTCGTCCGTCCAAATCCCAGGCACATGGTCGTACCCGCCTGCTTTCTCCGCAATTATAGCTGCTTCGCTGATAATGAGCGTACCAGGAGTGCTCGCCCTCTGCGCGTAGTATTCTACAGCCATATCCGGGAGGACGCCTCGCTCGTCGGCGCGAAATCGGGTCATGGGGGCCATCACGACCCGGTGCTGGAGTTGCACGTCGCCCACTCTGATGGGCTCGAATAGCTTTGTGCTCATGATGGAAGGCGGATGGTGGACTCCAGAAGGGAGTGCATACTTTTATGAGTGAGTTATGCCGAGAACATCGTGCGTGTTCCTCATCGCGGTTATGCTGCAGCATGCCCCATCGCTAAACGCCCGACTGATGCGCGCCTTGCGGCGTTGCAGGTTGGTTACGACAGGGATCGCCTTCTAGCCCGAGTCATAGCATCTTGCATGAGTCCCAACGTTTACCCCAGTGATACGTATTTTCTGATATCGAACTCCATTTGACCAAAACGTGGTCGAGATGCACACACGATATTGCACCGCGCAATTTGCGTTTCACCGAACCCTAGTCATTCGGAGCACTCTCTGTTCACTGTGTCGCCTAGAGCTGTCTGATACGAAGACTAGAGCCAGCCATCGCATAAAGCAGTCGTCGAGGGATGAGGTCCTCAGCGAGGGTGGCAAAAGACGAATCACGCCTCGCTCCGCTGACTCACGACCCCAGGCTGGTGCATGCGTTTTGTCTTTCGCCATCTGCGTTCTCAGATTCTGGTCTCCTTCCGGTATCGTCAACGTTTAACACAGTCTTTGGAAGGGTACGGACTGACGGAGCTTGCATGACGGAGCTTGCGCTTGCACCAGATATATCTGCACTACATTCTCTGCCAGTGGCGTGGCCGGATAGTGTGCTTTTGATCTGTATCGTGTGCAAGTTGACTCGCGTCCCCGACTAGAAGGTTGTCACGCTTTACGATCTCATAATCGAGGTTCTGCAAATTAGTAAGAACGGCATGCCCCGGTCTGCGACATGGATAAATATCGAGGTGTTCGAGGCGGATGTTGTAACATTCAGGGTCGCCTGAGTGAACATTATGCCTGCTATTGCACCTCGCAGCAAAGTCCTCGTCACAGGAGCAAACGGATACATCGCCGTCTGGGTGGTGCGCCGCCTCCTGGAGCAAGGGTACGTTGTCCGGGGTACCGTGCGCTCTGCGGCGAAGGGAGAGCACGTGAAGAAACTGTTTGGGGAGTATGGTGCCAAGTTCGAAGTAGTAGTAGTCGAAGACATCGGAAAGGTAAATATTTCTTTAGTTCCCGATAGCGAAATGTGGGTGGTCAGGTGACTGTAAATTATAGGACGGAGCGTTCGACGACGCGGTGAAAGGCATAGATGCTATCGAGCACGTCGCTTCGCCGTTCCATTACAATGCGCAAGATCCCAGCGGTTCGTAGCACTCCTGTCATCCCCATACTGACCTCACATATACGTATTCACTCAGATCTCATACAGCCCGCCGTTAAAGGCACAACGGGCATCCTCCAAAGTGCCCTGAAGTACGGGTGAGTCTATGTCGTACACTATCGCATAGACTCACACTTACAGATCATCAGGTCCGACGTAAGACGCGTCGTCATCACCTCCTCCACGGCCGCCGTCATGGACCCCTTCGACGCACCCAAAGTCTTCACCGAGGCAGACTGGGCTCAGAAGCCCATCGACGACGTGGAACGGGACGGGAAGAGCGCACCGAAGTTCAGCTGGTATAGGGCTAGCAAGACACTGGCCGAGAAAGGTTAGTATACCGTAATGCTTTTGTGGTGCAGAAAATGGCTTGACCGGAAGTGCTTAGCTGCTTGGGAGTTTGTACGGAAGAATAAAGAATCGATGAAATGGGATCTCGTGACTCTAAATCCTCCTTATGTACTTCGCGCATGCTTCCCCCTCTTGCAATGTACTGATTCCTGTCTGTGTTTAGGTATACGGTGTAAGCTCTCGCATCATAGGCCCCTTCTCTATATATTCAAGGTCTCCTGCATAGCCCACCATCCACGAAATATCGTCGCCCGATGAACTCAACACCTCCCAAGCCGACCTATACACCACCCTCCTCAAAGGCAAGGACGAACAGGCGCTAGCCACCCAAGGTTCGCACCACACTTGTACCCTAACCGTAACGTCTCCGCTGACAACCTCCCACTTACAGGCGGCTCGTGGATCGACGTTCGCGACCTCGCACGCGCGCACGTCCTTGTCCTCGAGAAAGAAGCCGCGAGCTGGGAGCGGATTATCGTCTCCGCTGGGCCCTTCAAGTTCCAGGACTTCGGTACGCCCCTCCTGTCTGCCTTCGTCTTCCCTACTACTCACTTCACTGATACAATAATCGGGGACATAGTCGACGCTGCCAACGCCGTGGGTGTGTACCCCGCCGACAGGCTAACGAAAGGTGTGCCAGGCGCGGGGAAGAAGCCTGACGTCGTGCACATGATCCAGTATGATAACTCGAAGGCCAAGAGAGTGCTGGGGATAGATGAGTATATCAGTATGGAGGAGTGCGTGAAAGGATAGTTTGGAGGATTTCAAGCGAAGAGGTTGGTAACATGGTAGGATATACTGATACTGAATGGAGCTGCTTGCTAAGGGTCGATAATGGAGGGCTCCGTCGTTTCCTCGTGGTTGATGAGAGAACGACTGAACTCTCTGTTGTTCATCCTGTACCAAAGCAGTGCGCAGTCGCAAGGTGCGCACGAAGGGCGTTAACTAAGTTCTATCAGCGTATTTTATTTTGTGGCTTCCAACAGCTGCAGCGCCTTATTCCTTGCTCTGCCACTCCCCAGCTTACATTAAACCTTTTCGGACAACCCGTCGTCCCTTGGTCGTACTGATCCGACACTATTGAACGGATCTACATTGATTAGTTTACGAGATTGACATGTCTCAGGTACGGTACTAGTACCGCCGGTTCACGTCTTGACAGCGGTCTGGTTCCTACCTATATACTGCGTGTTGCATCGGAAAGAAGATCTTGCAGGGAATGATTACAGTGCAGGTACGTCGTTACAAACAGAGGGGTTTTGTTTAGTATTATTTCTCCACGACCGTTCTGCAAAAGAGAGGACTGCACATCACAGCATTGCCTCGTGGATTGAAAGGTGTGCCTGGGATCTTCTCATGTCAAACTACTAGCGCTGCCCAAGGTAGGCCGCTTCATTACCGAAGTAAACAGTCCTGGGCAGATGTACGTTGCCGAGGTAATAACCCCTCCCTCGAACGCCTCGGTGGTGACCCCATTCGCGCTCTGCCCCACACTCGACCCCAGGCCTGCCGCATCCCTTTGTCGCTTGCTCCATATACCCCCTGTGGCTAGGGGAGGGAGATGAAGTTCCTCCCCAACTCGAGGGCCGCATTCCCTTTCGATCCGGCTGCCCTGAACCAATGTCAGGACTCGTCTCCCTTCTCATCCTTCGGTAAGGATACGTGAAGCCTCATATAGCTTGATGCTTAACTCTTGTCTAGAAATTGCCATCCGGAATCGTTCTCTTCCCGAGTCTCAACCCCTGAAATCACGACATGCGAGAGGGTCCACGGCCTTTAGCAGCAGGTCGTCCTCGTTCTACGCGCCGTCGGCGCCTATCCCCACTCTTGACTACGACTACGCCGGCAGACTGGAAAAGGCCGCATATCGACCTTCATACGATGAAGGTTCGCTCGCGAAGGTACTCTCAGCTATCGGCCTCGTCCTGAGCTTCCTCGTCGGCGCAGCTCTGCTCTTCGTGGGTGTCGACTTGTGTATCAACAGATCCGACGAGTACGTCGTGGGGCAGAAAGAGGGCTGGAGGCTGGTTCTTCTGGGCAGCGTCCCAGCAGAGGTGTTACCCCTCCCTCTTTACCTCGCGGTAACCTTAGTCACTGAAGCCACTGGCTTCGCCCATGGTACGGCCTTGAAGTGGCAGCTGCTACGGGAACGGAGGCTCGAGTTCAACGCGAACCTGCGCTTCATAACCGCCTCCGGAGGGTGGATCAACGGGCGCTCGTACAATGTACTCCTATTCATCACCCTTATAGCCACCAACAGCTCCACCTCCTTCGTCTTCATCTCTGCGCAGGATCAACGCGCTGTTCTGTGCTCGTACCTCCCGCTCATCATCCTGGGCACAGCTATAATCATCCAGGCAGGATTATCTACTATTGCAGTCGTGTGCTCGAACATCCCCACCTGGAGCAGCAGTATCGTTGATGTCGGGCCCGCATTGCTTTCCCAGGGCATAACACAGCGCATCCCGGGGCGGTGCATGCGGGGTATCGACGACGGGCACCCGGTCGACCAGACGCCGGTGCTTCCCCGCGGGAGGCAGCCGACGCTCTGGGAGATCAGCGGCTGGCGCGAGAGCGTGCGGCTCATTGTGCTCTTCCCGATCGCCCTCGCCGTCCTGTTCCTGGGCAGCTTCGTGTTCGCGATGAAGCGCCTGCGCGGGGACTGTAGCATGTGGAACGATCTGAGCACGTCCATGACCATCTCCGGGTACGGCGAGGGCGTGCTGCCCGTGACTAGGCTTGCGTGGGCACTCGCTGTCATCTGCTTGATTCAATTCCCCGTGACGCTAGCCCTTCATGTCGCGGAGCTGACGGTGCTCATGTCGCGGGATGAGGCGAACTGGCGGAGCGCCTGCAAGGAAAAGGGGGCGCGATCGCTGAACCCCATTATGGCTGTAGTCAACAACTGGGCAAGCGTGCTTCTGCTGCTTGCGAAGCCCGTCTGTCACTGGGTTTCTGGTACGGCGGTCAATTTCCAAGTATTAAGTCAAAGTCAGAATTCGAGCATGGTCGCCAGAGCAGGGTTTACGGCGCAGTCGGCGCTGACAATAAGACCGCTTTTCGTGAGTATTCCTGCGGATTCCTTCCATGCGACTTACGTTTGTATCGATTGTGATGACGCCCTTACTCAGGTCGTAGTGTTATCCGCCCTTCTGTTTGGTTTGGCCTTCTTTGTGTTTGTAGTCGCGATATGGCGACCGAAAGGATACCAGCCGGCTACCTACGGGCATCTCCAGACTCTAGTTAACCTTGTCGACGACTGGTCGCCGGTCATATATTGGGGGCACAAGTATAGCGGTGAGATTTGTCATGCTGGTGAGTGGCTGCAAAGTAATGCGTGATATTCGGGAGGCTGAAGTACGCTTGTCATAGGGACGTCTATGATCCTGCTACCTCCTGTAGACCCTGGGTTATGGTATCAATGATGTGCCCTAGAGACGGTAACCCAAGGAACGTACTACATTGGTGCTGTCCAGAGTACACAGCCAGAGGTAAGTAGGCATTCACGTCGCGTCCCTTCGGGATTTTGATTAGTTATACTGCTGTACCTTATATTCGGGCTTTGTGTCCCGATCCTTGTGTTGGATCCTTCAGTGCATTAGTCGCTCAGTAATAACGTCGGACAGCGCATCCTGTAGCTCTATTTATTAGGTTCTTGAGGCCATGGTATTCCACTCTGCAAGATCGTTTGACGTCAATATAGCCGTGGTCCGATAGCCACTTACGTGTTACGCAAACGTCTGCCAACATCGAGTGGCCACCAGCACAATCTCCACCCCCGAGAATCTTATCGCTCGTGTCTTCCTCAAACCGGCATTCACCGCCGTCTGTACTTGCCACACCCTATAGAAACTAAGCCACGCGAACACCGAGACATGTCCGAGCATTCTGGCAAGATGCTGATTGGCGACAACCCCTGATCTCCTGCTTGAGCGGACTGCCACATCCTCAAGAGTTGTTGCTACCGCTCGTGAGAAGAAAAAGGGCATACTTCCCCACACCGTTCCCTTCCTAGCATCGCGTCGCCACCGACGTGGACCAAGCAGGGCCGAGGCGGTCGTCCCCTTCTTAAAGCCCAAAAAGAGTGTTGCTGCGTGTTTACCCATCGGGTAGTGTGGATGGCAACCGCCACTTTCGCCAGGTGGCAAGGACCTAGCAGGGTACCATGGGACATTTTTCCTGGACCAATCAGAGACCAATGCTAGACCATAGTATGGACTTGCAATGGACTTGGTATGGACATCCAACCAGAATCCATTGGTTGTTGGGGCGTTTGATGCCATTTTGTCCCCCTTGAGAGCATGATTGAGGCCATATCAGCAATATTCCCATGTTTCATCACACTTACCCACCAAGATATGGGGGAAATCAATTAAATACTGGTATTTTCTTTATTTCCTGCCACATCCTGCCAGAGCCCTTTGGGCCTGCCAGCCGGCATTTCCACTGCTGGCAGCTGGCATGGCAGGGTGGCATGGCACTGCCAACCACATTAGTGGCAGGGATAGACCAGAAGGACACCAAGGATGCCCAGAGACACAGACACAGACACAGACACAAACTGGAGCCTAGTATAGAGCAGCAGAGTAGAACAATTCCCAGAAATGCGAAACTGTTTGTACCTATTTGGTTATTGTGGCTGCTGAAAGCGGCCAATACAATCCAATCCTAACATCTCTTTCTCTCTCTCCTTCAATTTGATTTCTTTGATTGATCTAAAAGTCCACACCTATAGTACATAAGACACATTGGTGATTTCACCGATGTGGCTTATCAGGATTCTGAAATGGCGTCCAGTACATGACACTGGGTTGCTACAGTCATTGGGGAACCCTAAGACTAAGCTAGCAGTCCTGGCAAACCAGTGTCAATGCAGTCAAATGTCACAGTGGACATGGGAGCATGCAATTGCCTATTTTATGTTGAGTTCATGGTGATAATAGACATGATAGAATGCCCCTGCTCTGCAGGGGTTTCTGGGACCTCAAAATGCAATTTCCCACACTACCGGCATTAGTGATCCCAGCCAACTGCGGCCACACTATGATACACTGCAGCACTTAACGTCAACACACAACACAAAGCCGAGACAAATAGGAGCAGCAGTGTAGTGTCAACCTCATCAACCAGCTAGACCTGATTGCAGGCAGCCATCACAGTTTGTGCAATGCGTGTATGGTGATTATACAGCTATTATTGCCAGCTAAATATTTAACCAGGCATTTATTGCCGTTTTCAGAGTGACCAACGCGCACGATTTCACGCTTCCAGACACGTCTCCGCGTTTTCGAATTTTATCTCGCTCGTCGCTGCCTCATTTGTTGTGATTCAACTTGTGTCTGACAGCTGAAATTCTAGGGCAGGGCCCGGCATATGTTTCTTGTGGATAAGTCTCTTGCTTCTCTTTCTATGCACTATGTACTGATTTCTGGGGATGCTGTAGAGTTGGGAATTTTCATGGAAGCTGGGATGAGCTGCTGAACTGAGTGAGGACTTGGATGGGCAGTCTGGATATTTGGACAGGATATGGGATGGTTTTGGTAGGGGGAGGAGGTCTGGATGCTGGATGGTGTTGCATTCGTTGTTGGTTGATGTACTGGCCTGTTCTCTGAATCTTGTACTCTGCCATGTCCTCTCAGATGTGGACCAATGTAATGATATATACCTGTAATCTATGGATGAACATGCTGTGAAGCCTGGAATTGTGGATAGGAGTCGCAGAAAGTGCATGCTTGCTCATCCTCTTCATCTGTCCTGCATGGATCAAACCACACATAAATAGGTGTTATATCATGTAATATTCTTGAAAGTAGATATAGATTACAAGGAGAATTCAAGGACATGATTAGGGGATGAAAACATGCTGAATCACATCAAATGAGGCAGTGACGAGCGAGATAAAATTCGAAAATGCGGAGCTGCGGAGACGCATCTGAGAGCGCGAGATCATGCGCGTTGGTCACGTGCCACGTTTTCTGAAAACAGCAAAGGCCCCCTGAAAATACCCATAGAGGTCTGATACCAGATACCAACTTTCCCCCCATTTTTACTGAAACCAAAATTACCATATTGGGATGTGTTTTACCCGAAAAGTATCCGACCTCTCGCCTTAGATGTGATTTTGACCGAAACATTGGTATCCAACCTGAGGGCTTGAGGATATTTATTTGTTCACAAAAAAATTCCAGTGCCTGCGGTGATACCAGATTCAGTTATGTATGGGCTTTATGAGCCTCTCCAAGGTGCACTGGTGTATATGGAATCCAAGAATGTCGCCACCTGATTATTGTGGCAAGTTGTGGCACTGTTGTGGCCATAATTGTTACCCAAATAGTATCTGACCTTTGCTCTGGATGCCTGTTTTTACCCGAAAATTGGTATCCAAGATTGATCCCACCGGCAGGTCCTTTACCAAAACTGTATCAGACCTGGCACCCAGTTGAGGGTGATTTTTACCAAAACTGGTATCAGACCACTATGGGTATTTTCAGGGGGCCTAGAAGCAATCAATTGAATAATCAACATATCCTCCCTGTGTGTCGGTTTAGTTCCTTTTTGTCTAAATTTACTGTAAATTATGCCTCAAACTACAGTCGACTCTGTCTTAACCCATAACGGGTCGGGGAACCCAAAAGTTATGGGTTTCTGCAGACTATGGGTTACCAGAACGTGTGACATTGTGTGACTACCTAGTAAGCGTGACAGACAGCCTACGCGGTATAGGCGGGACGTCGTTTATGACAACGTTTAGATACGGAATCTTGAGTCTGATATGGGTTATCTTCTGAAATACCACGAGAACCAAAAATTAAGGGTCCAGATGGTCCAGATTCTCGTGGGAAGGAGACCTGTACCTTCCTAATATAGGTTGTTTTATGGATTATGGGATACGGCAGACTTATGGGTTTTTACTATCTATCATGTTGATGGAAGCTAAAAACCTATGGGTTATTACAGGTTATGGGTTATGACAGGTATGGGTTAAGACAGAGTCGAGTGTACATACATATTTCACGTCCGTGGCGCAGACTCGCACGAGTCGTCCGGTTTCAGCCGAACGAGACGAATGATTCGGAGTCGGTCCTCGTATCACCTTGACCGCGATCCTGCAATCCGTAGTGCTCAAGTAGGGTTCTTACTTCACTGACGTGCATGAAATACCTAATACGTTGACATCTTGAATCTTCTCCTCAAGAAAGATGGTCGGAATCATCGGAGGCTCGAATGTCTTGTCTGTCTTCGCGATCCACGACATCCTCGTCCATATCATGCAATTTCTCCCAGATTTCTCCTCGTTATCTGCAATGGTCCCGGTATCCAGGCAGATACATGACATCTTCAAGCACCATCCAATATATGTGGTGCGATCAGTCGCCTACAACCAGATAGGACCTGCTTTACCGCAAGCACTGAGAGTTGTGCGTCATTGCCAGAATGACGACCACGGGCGCGATCCTAGCAAGTGGCCATCTGAGGAGGAAGTCCTGAATACGTTAATCACACCCCAGGAGGCTCATATTCTCGCTCGGAACGCCCGCATTGTTCTTGAGCTGGAAGGGCTTTACTATGAAATGACGTATGAGTTCATCCTTACTAGGTCTTAATTGTGAGTCATGATGTCTGATTTTTGTAGCGAGAAGCCTTATCCGATGTTACGGAGCACCCTCTCCGATATTTCTCGTGTCCGTTTCCATCGCGCCATGTATCGTTTCTGGCTTTATGCACTTGCTTTTCACCCGGACGAAAGCGCAGTGCCCGGGACAGGTATCGACAACTGGCTGGAATACAAAGAGCTTTTCTTCAACCAGATTTCTAACGACAGCGAATTGCACGAGCTCTTTGAAATCTACTGGATGCTATCCGAGCAAGCGTGGTACGTCGACTGGCTCAGGCGCGATTTGTACGACGAATTGGGTGAGCGTTCAGGCGCTTCGCCCGACCCTTTCATCATCTCACAAGTATCTAGACTTCGATCCAGACCTTGGAGTCCAGTACGGTGGCCGAGAACCGCCAGGTCAAGTTGCTCCGTCACGCATGCTCCTACGCTTCACAGTCCGACTCGCTTAACTCTAGGACCCCAAACCCTTGCCTTTATCTGGCGACGAGCATTTATTTAAAAATATATGTGTTTGACATGCGTGGCACTACAAACACGCAACTCTGTCTGCTGTCGACCATCTCTACTCTCTAAGTGCAGAGCACCTGATGGAGTGGTAACCGACGATATCGTTGTCGGACCAGTTGAGGCTTCGCAGCACCACTTCATATAAGCAGGAATGGGACACTTAAGGCGATGGGCGCAGATGCATGAGTGGTGTTCACTCACCTCACCGTCGCAAAAGACCTTGGGGACATTTGGACTTGCCAGGCTACAAATTACGTCATTGTATTAGGATTGACCGCCTTGCACTGAGTAGTGTAATGAATAACGAGCCATTTATCACCGAGTTTGAGCGCAAGTACGGCGCAGGTGACAGAGCATGCGCAGCGAACAAAAAGACTGAGACATAGACATACAGAACACAATGAACAAAAAAGCATGTTGAGACATCATACCACGCACAACAGTGAGACAGCGAGAATCACGGAGAGCTAAAGGACGAGTGGATCAGCATCGGCGCAAACAATAATATTGGGCGAGTATATGATGAGAGGCGGAACATGAAGAGACGATTTCGCAGAGGACTATAGAAAACACTACAACCAAACATTTGCAAACAATAAAGTCCCATCTGCGTAAGATACGAGAAATGATTGATATCTATCAGGTAAAATGTCTAAGTTCTCGAGTGTATCATGACATCCAGTACACTAATCATTGCTTTGAACACCGCCCAGCCTTGTGATGCACTCAGGGCGGGACATCCGATGGCCTCGAATAGCTGCTCCGCCAAAGCCACCGTCTAGTCCGATCCGAACTGGAATAATTTCTCGGGTGTGTACTCTGCGAGTAACCGATCTACCAAACTCATATCTGGAATCTGAATCAACTGCTTGCGCCCGCCATAGTCTTCCGGATGGTCATAGAAACCTGAAGGCCGGGCTTCTCGAAGTCAAGGTCAAAGTGGAATATCCGAAAAGAGTACGTCAGCTCCTTGCTTTGGTGATTTATTTCCAGACAATGAGCGATAGGAGCCCGATGAACCCGAGAGTGCGAGTGAGCAAGGTGACGGCTACAACAGTGATAGTGTATGTACCACCGATACGAGTATTGTGAAGTATCTGGTGCTAATCAAGTCGCTGCAGGTCATCATTGCCCCTAGCGGACTCAAGCGACATCTTGATCTTGATGAAAGGGATGATGTTCCAAAGATACGGATCCCACCTCCTCTGAAGCGTACGTAGGATGAAATGTGGATCCACTTAGTACTAAGTTCAACCATAGGACTGCGGGGCGCGGTTTCTGACCTGGGTAGATCTCTCAGCCATGGGATCAGTAGAGTGGCACTGGAAGTGACCACATACAAATGCCTTTCAACCAGTCAGAGGCGTCTCTATTTTGTTGCTGTCCATCAAGATGCCCATGTCGACCTGGATTGCAGCCCTATTATCAGGTCAGAACTGAAAGACATCTACAAGGTCTGGGGTTCTGAACTGCTGGCACGAAGGCCTTACTGACGTACCCCACAGATGTCATGGAATGGGAAGGAGTATGGAGCGAGCTCATACCATTCACTTGAATGTGATGGTGGACTCGTGGCAGATCTCCAAGCCAAGAATCAAAAGCTTCTCAAGATGGACTTCAAAAAGCTCACATTGTGCCATGAGATTGTGCAGCGCTTTTCGACGCTCTGCAGCATAAAGCATAAGGACGTGGGCAGTGCGTATCCGGGAATCCTCCCATTCAAACCGGTGTGCTGACCTTGTATGGCTCATCATAGACATTCAGGTCATGGATGCGACCTTGATCAGTGCCAATACAGGACCGAAGGCTGGTGATTACTGGTTAGCACGCCAGTGGATCAGTGAGGGCACGAAGCTTGAGGTCTCACCCTTGCAAGATGTCACGCCCACTATATCGGAGCCAACCGTGCACGAGGTCTGCAGTGCCCTGCTGCACTACTCCTTGATTGATCTTGATATGAAGGCAGCTTTCTCAACGATTCAAGGTAGACATGCTGATCGTCGTTCACTGAGGAGCACTCACTTCCAAACTTCTATTACTACAAAGCATTCTATCACTCTATCACACTGAATGTATTTGATGGCACTGCCAGCCGGAGTCACATTACCATATATGATGTGAACTACCAATCGTGAGTGGTCCTTGACCCCATAACGAACTGCTCTGAGCATGGCTATGCAGGGAAGACCAAGTTTGGGATTCCCATGACCGCAGTCGACAGGGGATTCATCAGCTCATGATGGAACATCGCTGCACGAAGCTTTGCCAGGACCTCGGCTTCTTGCCGATGCATTGTGACCTGAACAGGAAGTGTGGACTTCCACAAGCATCGGACACTGATGGTCCACCGACATCACATAAGTTGTTGACTTTGATGGCTACTCTGATATCTGAACACCGTGTTCAGTGTTCGAAGGTGTGGAGTATCGGTGTTTCCATGTGAAGATGGGTGAGGGTGCATTCGTAGAGGAGGTCCCAGGTGCCACCGAAGATCTCGGTTCAGAAGATGTCCCACACGAACCAGCCCTCATCCCAGCCGTTGTCTTCCCTCCGGATGGTGAGGTGACATGCGGAAATCTGAAAATATTCCCCCACAAGCTTTCAGAGATAGGACCATTTACTATATATCCGGTGCGTCTCTAGTCACGACAGCCTTGCCACCTGTCTGAGATGCTTTGCAGGCTGTGGGCGAGTGGACACACCCCGGACACTCGGAGGGAGTATTTAAGTATGCACTCTTGGAATCACATCTGACGGAGGATGATGAACCGTCGAAGGACAACACAGTCCATAGAATGCTGGTACGCCATACTGCAGTAGAAGATTTGATGTTTCGATTCCGCAAGAGGGCTGCAATTGCTGGGGTGGATATTGAAGGTATGTCACAGCCATGCAATGGAGGATTTGACCGGGAAAACGAGTCATTCTTCCAGGCTTTGATGTCGCCAGGTACAATGTGCTTGAAGCAGATCAGGTATCTGCACAGGGACTTAGCTGGCTTTGCTATGAGTGGGAAGATGAGTATGACTGGAATTCCCTTCCAGTCGTTTCGGGAATGGGCGATTCGAAGTCGGCGCTGGAGGAAGCGCTCCACGCATTCTGCCATTTCTCTTATGAGAAAGATAGTGACGGCTCGGAAAGTGTAAGCGCATTTGTGAAGTGTATGTATTTCAATACATGGCTCATGCGATTCACTAACACGTAGTTTTCACGATCAGATCTCGCTCCGACACGGATGCATCCCGCTTGCATTGTTTATTGCCATACATACACGTGAGTGTCAAGGTACCATTGCTCTAGCTATATTCACTCAAGGATCAAAACATAGGTCGAATGGAGGTTCACATTATCATGACCGCGGGCAGAGGGGGGTCGATGAGTTCAAGAGATTGCATCAGTGCAATGTTATTTGCAAGGACCTGGGCTTAGGACCTTTGACAGCATAGGAGCAGCACACCGAGTATGATGACTTGCGAGTACGGAATGAGTATATACGGGTTCAGCTTGTACAATATATTTCAATTTTACTTTATATCTAAGTGTGACGGTTAAGGCCGTCACAGCCACTTCCTATGTTTCAATGGACTATTTCCTATTTTGTCTTATGTTTATCTTAACGGTCACTCTTAGATAGACAACGGACTCTGGCTCTAGAACGCAGTGCAAGCATGTATTCGGCCGACGGCCCTCGCGGATGACATCGTATCTACCATGTACCTTTCGGCTTCCGTTTCCGGTATCTGACAGTTAGGAGTAGTCGAACGGTCACTTATACCGGTAGCTCCCTGTACTCTCCCCTTTTCCCCGTCGAATCAACGCCAGTACGGTCTCAGCGTCTGCTCGTCTCCCGTTCTACGCCTGTGCTTCGGTTTCGGTCGCCTTGACCGTTACACTAAGCTGTACTGGCAGTCTTGAAGGTTTCGCATGCAACATGGGTGTTGCGACGCAAACATAGTATCCTACGGGCCTCAGAAAGTACGAGGGTCAGAAGGAGAACTGCACCTATACCCGCCGTTGGTTTGGTAGAGGTGCCGTGGCACCATCACCCTGTTGACGTTCACATCCTGCGCGAGGATGTTGCTCACAGAGCGGCCGCCGCCGCATGTGGGGGGGACGCCGTTTACAGTGGCTGTCCATGACTTGAAACTGTCGAAGCATTCATTGTTCTCGAGTTCAGCGTCCAGCAGGTTTTGGTAGCTGAATTCGCGTTGGGACTTGCACCGCTGACCATGTTCGGCTGGATGCTTGTGCCCAAGCGAAGCACCTGTGTCACCGTTAGCGAGATCTAGAATATCGCTCTACACAGGAGTTGATAAGCATCAGCTTGCAGGTCAAGGGGAAAGGGGAAAGGGCCTGTAGGTAAGACACTTGACGAGATTAGCGTACTACCCGAGACCTTCGAAGACGATCCCGTTCCCACCACGCCGGACGTAGTTCTGCGTGTATGAATTTGTCGTATTCTATATAGCATAGGTTGCGGAGATCGACCGCTCTCTCGTAGGGTAGAGCGACGCGCGGGCTCATCGTCCAGTTCCTCCGAGCTCCACTTTTTTGGAGCCGGCAGTCGCACTCTAGTGGTCGCGACTTCATGATGGTATGTCGCGTTGACTTCTTTATCGCGCCATGCTTGGCTTGATCGCAATCTAGTTATGGCGCTCGACTCTGTCTAGGGAAGAGGATGATACTGAGCAGAGTCAGACGCCTCCCAAATGTGTCCGAAGAGAAGGGAGCTATTCAGCGCTAGGCCTCTTGACTAAACGGCAGCATGTGCAAGGTAGTCACAGGGATGTAGGGAATCGGATGCAGCAATCTCCAAGTCTCAAGTACAGGCGAAACCGGTATGGGAACCTAACATAGACCTTGTACTTCCTCGTCGTTTTTCATCACGAGAAACGGCGGGGAAGGGGTCGTACTGAGCGTAGACGTACTCAGCAGCGGGCTTGTGGCATGCGAGTCGTTGCTCTTCGAACTCGTCGAGCTCTCCCTGTCCTCCTCCTTCTCGCTGAGTTCATCCGCGCTTCAGTAGCCCTCCTCACGCGATGCGTAGCGGGACGCGGCGATGGCCTGCTGGCGCTTGTCCGCGAGCTTGGTATGCTTGCGGTGCCAGAGCTTCTCCTGTGTGAGCACGACCACCTCGGAGATCGTGCCCTCGCCCATCTCCATGAATGCACCGAACGACTGGCGCGTCTCCCAGTCGTGCGCGTTGAACTTGGGCCGCCGATCGCCGCCTGGTCGCGCGGGCTGCCCGACGCCGTCTGCTGCCAGTGCAACTCGGCGTCGAAGCTCCGACACATTGCCTCGGTCCCAGGCCACGCGTGACGCATCGAGGATCGGCAGCCACCGCCGCCCCAGTTCTGACGCATCGAGGATCGGCAGCCACCGCCGCCCCAGTTCCGCGAACGCAGTTTCGATGAGGCCTGCGGGGCGCTGCGGCCACAGGTAGAAGTACGGCCAGGAGACCGCGCCCGAGAACGGCGTGTGCTGTCAAGCCGAGCCACTTTGACGCCTTCGCAGCTGCGAAGAGCACTCCGCACGCCCACTCCTCGCGCGCTGCCTTGTTCCCCCGATCCTCCGCCAGTGTGAACCCGTCGAAGAGCGCGTCATAGGCGGGGTGCGCCGCGACGAGCTGGCCCGCGAGGTGGCACGAAAGCTCGGAGATGTCAAGAGACATAGGTGATGGAGGCATGTCATTGTGACTATTCCCATGTGCCTATAGCACGGGCTTCAACTGGCAGCACGTCATGGCGCACACTTCTGGGAAGTCACTGGTGAGCCAATGCACCTTCTACCTTC